AAAGATTCACACGCATGTGCACTATACAATTTTTAAAATCTAATTCTAACACTGTCTATTGACAGTACATAAATTGATAGAGGCTTTTTCCAGCATAACTCATACTCTTACAGTCTTACCAGTACAGTTTCCATATCCATTATCTTTATATCCAGCTCTACAAGAACAGGTGTATGATCCAACTGTATTACTGCAAGTTTGTGTACAATTGTGATCAACAGTCTCACATTCATTAATATCTAAAGGTAAATACAATACACGTGATATATAAAATTGATATACCAAAACAAAATATTTTAAATCTCTTCATGAAGCCATCATAACAAGAACAGTTATAGGATCCTTCAGTATTGATACATCTATGCTGACAACTGTGAGTACCAGTAACACATTCATCAATATCTATAATACAATGTAAATACATTACAATATATAGGAATCACATCATACCTATACACATTCCAGTGTTATTCATTTGATATCCATCAATACAGTTACACTGATAGCTTCCTAATGTATTAATACAGTTACTTCTTAAAGGACATATTCCAGGATCCTCAATGCATTCATTAATATCTAAATGAAGATTATATCACAATACACACAATATACAGTAACTGTACATACCATCACAAGATGAATTATCATTCATTAGTCTGTATCCAGTATTACATTGACAGTAATAGCTTCCATTAGTGTTAAAACAGAGTTGTTGACAGCCACTGGTACCCATTGAACATTCATCAATATCTGCATGTACATGTATGGGAAAGGAATACTGAGTAACAACACCACAGAATCAAAACAATTAGATTGTGGGGGAAGTGGGCATACTACAAAAGAGTCACATAGCATGTGTACTATACAATTTTGAAAATCTAATTTTAACATTGTCTATTGACAATACATGGCTTAATAGAGGCTTTTTTCCAGCATAACTTTTACTCTTACCAGTACAGTTTCCATATCCATTATCTTTATATCCAGCTCTACAGGAACAGGTGTATGATCCAACTGTATTACTGCAAGTTTGTGTACAATTGTGATCATTAGTCTCACATTCATTAATATCTAAGTGAAGATTTTAAAATAGCTTCATTTGAATTGTTGCTATCTACAACAAGGACCATACAGAATGATTTATTGACTATTTGGCAAGTTTGATAGTGATAAGTAACTGAAGAACTTTATACATACTATGTATCATTAAGCCATGCTCATATTGAAACAAAAATGGATATTTAATATAGATTTAGATCTAGGCAATTTCTTTACAGAACTATCAATTGCCAATATTAATTCCTCAATACTACAAAAATTGTTTTATACAATATCATTGTTTATTGAATAATAAACTGTAATACATTTGTGTAATTGATCCATACCTTCATCACACTGATCACCAGTCCAACCATCAAAGCATTGACACAAGTTATTAGCATCACACATACCATTACTGTGAATAAAATTGCAAATGCAAGTCATATCTAAAAAATACATAATAAAAGTTAGATATAAAACGAATCATTTTTATTTTACTTTGTTCCAATGAAACTAGTGCTGGCCATCCATATATTATATGAGAGTAAAAATATCCCTGAACTTGAACTGATAGTTTTCCATTATTACCAGTATGACTTAATGAATGATTACTAAAATATCTATTAATTTCAATTTCAGTTCCGTATGCTACAATATTCCTTTTAAAATCATATACTGCTGTCCAGTTTGCAGTTGCTAGTCCATTATGTAGAATAGCTGTAGGAGAGAATCCTTCAACTGATGCTGTAATAACAAACTTTGAATAACGAGAAGAACGGTAAAAATCAAAGTTAACCTCTTGAAGATATTGTTCCATTGGTGGTATCCAAACCATTGCAGTGTAATAATAATATGAGTGAGGGAACAAGACAACAAATATTGGTTTGTTAGCTTCCACATAACAATATTCAGTTATGCTATACTGATATATGCCAATTGCTCCATTAGTAGAGTATCTTGTAGTGTTAGTGGCTCCATTACAGTATATTGTTATATTAGTGTTGCCTTGAGAAGTGACTGTCTTTACCATAGAAGGAACTGGCGACTTGCTATAACGAAAATTATTAAAGTTTGTCAGAATAAATCTTGTACCCCAGGTTATTGTTGGAGGAACTTGTAATTGTAGAGGATGACAATGAAAGCGTTTTTTCATACCAGGAGTACTGCCACACTGGTGACCAGTAATAACAGTCAGTGGTTTATTAGAAATAAAGTGTGTTCCTGATATATCACTTCCATTCCCTTTACCCAACAATAGAGTCTGTCCCTCATGTAGTGTAATAGTATGAGAGTTACCTTTAGTTACTAATATATTATCACTGCCACTCTTCTGTACATCAATAGGAATGAAGAGATCAACTGTTGGTATAATACTAATGACAGTATTATTAATACAACCAATAAGAAGAACTTGAATAAGATATATGCTATGGTAACTACTAGTAGAAACAGCATAATATTCATACTGACTGACTCCAGGGTACTCATGATATGGTAAAATGAGATGATCAATAAAAATGTTATAAAATGATGCACTTATTGGCTGATCACTTTTTATTTTGATTCCTTTATATCGTTCTCCAAAAGAAGTAGAATGTGTTTGAAAACGTGAAGGAACATAGACATTATGAACATAATGA